TATAATTCAGTATTTAGGTCCTTTCTTACGACACAAAAGACTAATTTGTCATTTTTTATGTGTACCCAGTGAGACCGGAAAATATTCAATTTGATATTATAAATTCTACATTTCACCTTCACAACAGAAGGGATACCTTGTTTCAATCAGAAAACTAATGAATAGGAACAATTAGCACAACAAACCGTAGCGTCACACACCTCCCCAAAATCAATAGCCTAGGGTTCGACAAGATTCAACGTTGATGCTGACCTTGATAGTTTAACCGGACTCGCCAAGCTGAAGACACCCAGTCAAGCATCTTCACCATTTGGCACGCTGTCGTGCTACGTTACAGTGTTTGTAATCGACTCTCTAACCAGCTAGTTGGAATGCATCGGTGTCTTGGCACAACCGTCTACATATACCATTCCACCCGACTACGCTGTGTTCTTTCCTGTTCTTGTATTCGTGGGTGTATAACAAGTTCGAATAATTAGTGGTTGGTCTTTGTGTCTGTCAAGTTCGCACCAGGACAATTTCCAAATTGGTGAACCCAACGTAATCACATATCCCAACCAATAACAAATATTGAATTGGTGAGCCCGTTCCATTTTATACTTACATATTGTTTTCGTTTTGATAACCTTTATATATCCGTACACAACTGTTTCTCATGTCTGACCATGCTCCCAAGCTTATTCGCATTAAGCCAACTACGAACACTATCCTGCAGCCTCAGTAGATAGAACACCGCAGATCCCTTGCAGACCCGTCTCCAAAGTATTTTCTGCCTGCAATAAACCCGATAAACCAAGCTGTGCAACTCTGCTAAACAGCTGCTGCGATCTCGAAGTTCTAGTTTAAGCAGAATTTAACAGAGACGCATCCTAGCGCATCGCAGCAACTCACGTGGTTGTCCGAAAACTAAACCTAACAGAGTGGAAAACTCGAAATGGTGCTGGTTTCATAATACTTACGAGAATGAAGCCAGAAAATACCGGCCACGCCGGCACGTGTTCACGGCAACCGTGACCGGCGCAAACAGCCGTTCGCTCTATGGCACCGATATAAAAACGGAGGTTCGGCACCTCGCCGACACTGGAGCTGAAGTTAGCGTTCTTCCGTCACCGACAAAGAAGCGTCATCATGACCCACCCTTCACTCCCCAGGCAGCTAACGGAAAGGCGGTCGCAACATTTGGAAGGCGGTATGTCTACCTCAACTTACGTTTACATAAACCCACTCACTGCGTCTCCCTCTTAGCTGACGTTTCTATGTCCATCATTGGCATAGATTTGCTGAGCCACTACGATTTACCCTTAGATGCTCGCTGTCGACGTCTGAGAGATAACAACACAAAGTTATCTGTTAGCGGCACAGGTCCGAGTTTAGCCATCGCTAGAACTAAACAATCAGGTGAAGCGTCCTACCAGGCATTGTTGGAGAAATATCCAGAGTTGCAACAACCGAAGCATACTGTTTCGTACATAACCAGCAGTGTTATGCACCACGTGACAACTACAGGTCCGCTTGTGGCATCCAAAGCAAGGTGTCTAGCCCCTGATAAGCTCAAAAAGGCGAAGAGTGCATTCGACCTCATGCTGGAACTAAGCATTATCAAACCCTTAACTAGTTCTTGAGCATCACCAGTGCGCATGGTTCCCAAAGGGGATAGCAGCGACTGGTGTCCAACCGGTGATTACCGAAGGCTTAACTCCAAACCAACACCGGACTGCTACCCGATACCTCACGTTTACGATTTGACTGCAACCTTATGGGGAACGAATATTTTGGCCAAAATCGATCTGGTCAAAGAGTACAATCAAATACCTATGGCAGCAGAAGATATCGCGAAAACAGCCATCATTGCTCCCTTTGGCCTGTTTGAATCCCCGCGCATGCTATTCGGTTTTCGGAATGCAGCACAAACATCCCAACGCTTCACGGATGATGTCTTCCATGGTTTAGATTTTGTCAACGTCTACATGGATGACTGTCTTATTGCGAGTCCAGATAAGGAAACTCACCTCAAACATTTGGACCTCGCATTCGAAAGACAACAGAAACATGGCATCACAGTCAACTTACGGAAGCGTGAAATGGGAGTTGAATCACTCAGCTTCCTTGGGCATACCATTGACAACAAAGATATACGCCCATTGAGAGATGAAGTGGCGGCTATCACGAACTATCCAGAGCCGACCACTGTGAAACATCTTCACACCTTCAGTGGCCTGGTAAGTTATTACCGAAGGTTTATTCCTAACTGTGCCCTTGTTATGAGACCACTAACAGACCTACTTCGAGGAACTACGAAGTTCGTGACTCTGGACAACGTGGCTAGACTTGCTTTCTCCAAAGTCAAGGAAGCCATTTCGAACGCAACCATGTTTACGCATCACGACCCCAATGCACCTTTGAGTGTTGCTGTTGATGCATGTGACTCAGCAATCGGAACGGTTTTACAACAGTTGACTGACAATCAGCAGCAAGCGTTGGCCTTCTTCTCGAGGCGGCCTTATGTGGAAATAGGATACTGTGCATTTGGTAGGGAACTCCTAACCATGCACTGTTCTGTACGCCACTTTCGACATTCGGTGGAAGGTCGTGATTTCATTATTTTCACAGACCACAAACCGTTAACCTTTTCTCTTTGCTCGGCGTCTGACAAATACTCCCCTCGTGGGTCACGACAACTGGGTTACATTTCCCAGTTCACTTCAGATATCTGCCACATTTCTGGAGCAAATAACTCCGCAGCCGATGCACTATCACGAATAGCTTCGATAAATCATACCCAGGGCGTCGATCTCGTTGAACTAGCTCTGTGTCAAAAAGAAGGCCTTGAGCTGCATCATGAGTTGTCGTCCACACCTCTCAAGCTACAGTTGTGTCCAGTGGGGTCAGCCAAGGATACAATTTTATGCGATGCCTCTGCTAGTCAACGTCGCCCAATAGTTCAGGAGAGTTGCCGACACAAAGTCTTCAATACGTTGCACAAATTGTCCCATCCAGGTGTACGAGCCACCACTAGGCTTATTGCACAACCTTTCTGCTGGCCTGGGATGAACAAAGACGTTAAGGAGTGAGCTCAGTCGTGCTTAGCCTGTCAGAAGTGCAAAGTCACACGACACACGAAAAGCCTTTTGGGCCCTGTTCTAGCCCCAGGCATGAGTTTCGACCACGTCCATATATATGTATATATACATTGTAGGAGCCCTGCCAGAATCTAATGGATGGACTTACCTTTTCACTTGCGTGGATAGTTTTACGAGATGGCCAGAAGCAGTACCTATTAAGGATATTACTGCTGAAACAGTAGCTCGTGTTTTCGTCGAAAGATGGATCTCAGTCTTTGGATGCACATCCTGCATAACCGACTGTGGGTGCAAATTCGAGTGTGGATTATTTCACGCTCTAACTGCACTTTTAGGTTGCACCCGGTTCAGAACGACAGCCTACCATCCACAAGCAAATGGTATGATGGAGCGTTTCCATCGACAGCTGAAAGCTTCCGTTTCAGCTACAAACATACTTCAGTGGACCGAGGCTCTGCCTCTAGTCCTACTAGGTATTCGTAACCCCTTGAAAGTTGATGCTGGATGTACCCCTGCAGAACTCGTCTATGGGACCACTCGTCGCCTACCAGGGGAATTTGTTTCCACCTCCATCTCCAAAAATGTTTCTGACAGTGCATCTTACGTGACTAGGCTTACAAACGCAATGCCTTCAGTCAGGCCTTCTGCAGCTAGACCTCGAACGACTGATGTCTGCGTTCACCCCAGTTTACAAAAGACATCACACGTGTTCATTCGCCACGACGCCGTTCGTCGACCACTTGGACTACCTTGCGATGGGTCATTCAAGGTGATCAAGTGACATGAGAAGTTCTATATAATTTAGTTAAACGGACGTGAAGATACTGTCAGTATCTATTGTTTGAAACCAGCTTATTTCGCAGGCGACCCCATTACAAGTGACGTTTCAGCTTGCTATAGCCGACCGGCGGACAGCCCAATTATCGAAATTCTTAATGATATGCCTAGTAATGCACAGATACAACCACCGGCGCAACAAAAATCACGATCAGGTGGAACCGTTGGGTTTCCGGAGTATTCGAAGTCGTATTTGACTTAGCGGTGTGAAATAAGATGTGCCAGCCATTTTTTAATTCAAAATTTATTTCGGGACATCATTTTTCTTATTCATCGGCGATGGAAAACCCTCCTGCATTTTATCTTTTTATATCAATTGTTTACTACCAACTAATGAAACTTTTTCGAAGAAAGTGGGAGTCAGCTTAAACTTTATTGCCGATATATTTATATATACATGATTCCAATTTTTACGAAACCTTTTCGTGGCATTAAAGACTTTTACTCATATTCTAGATGCAACGGGCACTGAACGGAACGTCAAAAGAAACTGGGGACCGCGATCGACGTACGGTTCGATTTATTGTATTTTATTTTTCGTTTGCTACGACATTCTAGAATAAATTCAGACAACCACAGGCCACTCCTCGCAGTGAGCCCGTCGGAAGAGTTTTACCAGTGCAGAAACCACTGGGTTTCTACTTTCAGCTGGTATTGTCTTAAGGTCCTCAAGAACCCACAAGGGGGGAATGGTCTGTAGCGTCACACACCTCCCCAAAATCAATAGCCTAGGGTTCGACAAGATTCAACGTTGATGCTGACCTTGATAGTTTAACCGGACTCGCCAAGCTGAAGACACCCAGTCAAGCATCTTCACCATTTGGCACGCTGTCGTGCTACGTTACAGTGTTTGTAATCGACTCTCTAACCAGCTAGTTGGAATGCATCGGTGTCTTGGCACAACCGTCTACATATACCATTCCACCCGACTACGCTGTGTTCTTTCCTGTTCTTGTATTCGTGGGTGTATAACAAGTTCGAATAATTAGTGGTTGGTCTTTGTGTCTGTCAAGTTCGCACCAAGACAACTCTTAAAAAACAACACCACAACGGCTCCACGTGATTAGCGTCGCCCCACGTTTCTTACACATCAAAATCTATTTCATTATCAGAATGCATGCTTACCTTCCAGACGTACCAATGTGATTGATCATAAACCGAAGTACTTATACTACCAGTTCTGTGAAATCGAACTAGTTTCACTCGTATAGTTTCATTTAAAGTAAGCTGAGAATATTTAACAGATGGCAGAGAATAGTTGTACAAGCCCATTGTTAGGGGACTCAGTAATGACAGGCTCTTAAATGAGGGCAGTAAAATATTAGTATTTAAAAAATAACAAGCTACTGTCATCTGATACTGCTCGAAATAGATGTCACCCACCGTGGCAGAATAGTATCATATCCTGCTGTAGAGAGCAAACACTTCGATTGCGATAGTGCTGAAGAAAAAGATCATTTTCTCACAAACTGTGCAACGTAGTATCCCGTCTCACCGTGCGTAACCCAGCTATGTTGTCAAAAAATAAGACGAAGTGCACTTACGCACCAATTTCAACCGGCAAAATAGCATAAAATGCGCGCACCAAGAAGAGAATACAAGACTGCATAAAATCTTTCTAAAGGTTCTTAATACTGCATCCCGCATGAAAGACCTGCTGCACCAGTAGGCTTCTGCAGATGAATGAAGACAGCTGCAGCTTCACCCGGACCATTTTTAACCTCATACCCTTCGTCCAATGAGAGAAGTTTCACACTGGAAGATGAAGATCTCCATAAACTTCTGGAGGATGAGGTATCTCCGGATAATTGGTCAGCTTGAACAAGACTGACAGCGGCTTTCTTCAGAGTATACATAAAATGTTTCCTTAAAGCTGAAACAGAACCCAAGGGACTATCGCTCTTCATTTCTCGAACCAAGTTTTTGAAGCTCTTAGGGTGCACAGGAAGGAATTGCAGACATGTTTTAATTGATTCGAGGCATTTATCGCTCTTGAATAAGGGCGTGGCCTACCCTGGAAAATTCAGGAAATATACCCTAGCATAAGGTTTATTGAAGAATGAGGATCATTCCTGAAGAACGGTGGGATGCGTTCCGTCTTAATTAGGATAACCATTCATGGTAGCAGCAACTATCTGCTACCTCCAGCCTCTGCTCCAAGATAGAGGGTTTGCAGTTGTATTATTCCAGTGAGTGGCTCGTACATATTTGAGGCTAAAGTCTATGACGAGTGTTCGCAAATAATAGTCAGTTAAAAGTTCAACCACTCCAATGTATTTGCTGATTGGCCCAGTGAGGCTCAGTAAGTGGTAGTGTAGCGTTTTATTTCACTGTATTTTGTTGATATATGTAACAACTCATTGAATATTTTTGTTTAGTTATGCTGATAAGAGGCTTTTTGCTTGCTCATTGACCAACATAACATCCTGTTATATACTTCGCGTTAACTCCTGATATTTACATTGTCTGACGGATAAGCAGTGTCGGGAATTATAAACAGACGATAGTGTATCTGGATACGTATATAAATTTGGAGTCACATTTCAGAGCTCGACAGAAGCATCATGCCCAAGCTTGTTGAAACAAAGCTACGTGTGGAATAAGGGTGTTTGGATGGGATAAAACTAATCTGATGCTGATGTCGATCTTTTCTCGAGGCCTTGCACAAAATTTCACGCCTGCCAAAAGTGTTTCGAGGGGGATTCACAACTTCTTATACATAACTCAACCTAGCAACGTCGTTTCAATCCTGAACGGCTAAGAATAAGATTCCGAACCACTCCAGTTTCTGATGCGACACACTCGGAACAAACTAGCCTATTGCTCATGACTTTGTTTGATGTAAAAATTCGAAATGTGTTTTCAGCTTGGAAGCTAGGCCACGTTCCCAGCCTGCATATTATTATAACCTTATTGAGGACTACAACAACAAGTAACTTCCAATTTCAGTGACGTTACCCGACGTTTCGCCTCAGTTACCCTTTGTCAGCATACTGAACAACGCTATTACCCATGCGCAGCTGACAAGAGATTGTTAGATCAAGCACCAACAATTCTTCATTTAAGACGTTTGCGCTGAGATGACAATGAGTTCGTCTCCTCTTTTATTGGGTTTCTGAACTCAAGTGTGGAGTAGATTCTAGTCCCTTGATATCGTCAACAAGCTGAGACAAAATGTATCAAATGCTGCAACTACAGATACTGTCTAAGAAATAAAATTTGAGAAGATCGAGACTTCACGGAGTGCCTGGTGCGACAGAGTAGCCAGTAGCGTCTAAAATATGACTGGAAATCACAAGCTGTAGGTGGCGTCTCATGTAATAAACTTATTGGAAATCTTTTTACCCCGCTTTTTTATGAAGCGCTGTAATGATCTGATGACATTTCAGAAGAGAAACGACATTGGACTAACCTTGTTGTTGTGCAACAAAAAGTGTTTGGTACACCTAAATCATGATCCAAAATAGGTTGAAACTCAAGTCTCAGCAAGCCTATGGGCTTCCTGAACAGTGGTGTGTTTTGCCTCGTTTCCGTTCTTCTCGGAAATAGTCATATGTACCGTACCACTGCAGCAAAACGAGCACAAAAGCAGAAACGTCTAGCTAAACAGAACAGGAAATCAGTTGGAATAACCTTATGGGCAGACGGATAACAAGGTAAAATGCATCAGTCATAAAGACGTTATCAGTACAGGAAATCAAACGTCTCTCCATAGTACACATCTATAGGCTCCGGTATCCATTTTCGAATCTGCCCCCGCTTTCAGAAACGCTCACCGCTGCAATACGCCCATCCAACTAGAGCCTTCACATCCGAAACTAAACGTTTTGTAAAACAAACTGTCACTAGAGCGTACAATACTGTATCGATCACTACCATCACTCTTCAAATGAACAACTGTCTTGATCAGTTGCTACATCTAAGGTTACTGCATCTGTGGAACTATTTATCTCACTCGATCGTACGTCTGACCAGTAGGAGTGATGGCTGGGAGATAAACCAAAACTACCTACGCCCGCATTGCAATGTCTCTATGCAGCCTACGACCCTTGTTCCCAAGGTGGTTTTCGGATTTAACAAAACAGTGTCCATAAAACAACAAAAATAAAATCGGGATGTACTGACGATACGAATTCGCCCTGTCTAACCCTCAGCCCACTCTGAGCAACCAGGTCTCCATATCCCTGCTATAATGATAATGATAATAATATTTATTCCTGAATATACAGGCACACACCATTTTTACAGGTATGGATAAGCTTATATATAAATTACATGTATCTTCGCGGAAGGTAATCCCAATCCCCACCCGTTGTCACTAGAAGATATGAGTGCTGCATGTTCACACAATGGAACATCCCAGCAGAATAAGTATGCAGAAGATTTACAAGTTGGACGAGTGGAAGTATTGTCTTCGCATTAACAAAAAAACCAGTTTGTATCTAGACATTAGGGTATTACCTGGAGAAAAACAAAGCTTGAAGCTAAGACTTCCGTTGTAACAGTTTGCACTTTCTGCTTCAGATAGTGGTGAAAAGTTTGTGGAGGAATGTATGCACGAACTGTTTACATATCACGCCTCATTGATGGTTCCAGGACTACATACTTCATGCATGTTAATACCATTCCACGACAACGATTCATAATCTTGATGAATATTATGACTAAAAGCCAAATATCTTCACTTTTCCAACTCCAGCATCCAGAGGCAATAGACTTGTTTGAATGTGCCAAATGGACTTCCAGAACATCTCGTCCTTCGTTTTCACGGGTACTGACAGCCTTGCAGTTGGTAAGTGTTGGAGTTTGCTGACCACTTTTATGATGAGTAAATCCTAGATTTTGATAATTATGAAGTTATAATCCAGTGAACATTTTTTCTTTCTGCTTGTTGTAATTAGTTATTCTGAACTTGGTAAAACTGGTTACCCTCAATGAAGGGTAGTTTCAGCCATGGTCTGTTCCTTAGGTGACTAATTCGCGATAGCAACAAAGCCAACGTTTAGAACAATTATTTTTCTACGACGGGAAAAAACAGACGAAGCAGCAGGCGGGGAAAGCAAGAATTTCAACAAGGAGAGTGTTTTCTATGTCCGTGTTTCTCCCTACTCAACTTCCCTTGCTATGGTGTTCATTGTATGCTCTTTTTCTTTAGAGTACTTAAAAATATAAACTTCCTGCTTTTTTGTAGCGTAGAACTTCTGTTTTTGATTGCTGTGTTGGGTGGGGCGGAATGTGCCATTAGTTGGTGATAACCTATGGAAGTCTCCTCAACGCTTCATTTGAAAAGTCAGTGTAGGTGTGTTGGCTGTCTCATTACATATTAAGGAGGCCGAGTATACGAAGCGTGGTGAAGGAGACTGTTGGTGTATTCGATAAGCTAGCTAGTAACCGACCGAATATGGTAGCAGACAACATAAATAGTAGTTCCCCTCCCCACGAACACATAAAGCGTGTATACCATTGTAGCAAAAGGCATGGATTTATTTGAATATTTGTGACTTCATTTAACTCGTGTGCTTTATTCTTCTGCACGCAGACGAATTCCCGGTTCCATATCCTTCCTCTTCTACTACTTGGCGGTATTGTCGTCTTCACCCTTGTTTTCCTTACTTCCATTTGTGCCTTTACCTTCTTCATAATATGACCTCTAAACAGTTGGATTAGAACACGTTATCGAGCCACTTTTGGAGCCATTACATTTAGTCCACCTATATATAGTGATTGATATACCTTCAAGCATTATTTTGTGCTCCCATCTTGAGTTTGGCCTGGTGCTCGCCTTTATTATTCATTTTTCATGTCTAAAAGACCAGTTCCTCGTTCATACGAGATCCTAGCAACCGTTAGCTTCAGCTTACCTCACGCCGCTTAAACTTCAGGGGCACATACCCCATATGTGAATAAGTTTGATCCCACTCTCGACTTTACCCTTTTTTAGGCATACGAGTGGGGTTCTTGCGAGACTATCGGTTTTGAGTCAATAATGTTGGCCTGTTTGGGTGGTCTATTTGATAAATACTCTCCCTTGATAGACTAACATGAACAGGTTGAGCTGTCCTAGGAACTGTGCATGTTTAACCCGGCAGTCCGACAACCTACCTTGTTGCCCTTCTCTGTGCCTTCTCGGGTGTACTCACGTTTCTTTTTGGTGGTAGGGGAAGACGTAGTGTCGAATGCCTCCAGGTTTTAAATACCATGAGCAATGATCCTGGAGTTAGTGCTTCAAGCCCCCTTCTTAGAAAGTGTGTGATGGCGCCCGACTTTGGCACTAGCATCCGGTATATCAGAAGAGTTTAGTTCTTATTCCCTCTTTGCGGGTAACCTGGCGGTTGCTCACTTGCTGGGTGCGG